TTCAAGGACAGCATAAAAAGAGTTTTCAGTTATTCATTTGTCACAACAAAGTTAAACAGCTCTAAAGTCATATTTTATTCACTGCTATGCTTATTTCCAATAAGAAGCGTTCCTATTGTGTTTCTGAGCCAAAATACAAAACAATTCGCTTCTCCGTTTCGTGATAAACAGAAAAGGGTGGTGCCAAATTTACTGGAAGTCCGCTTAAGAAATACAGGACGGAGAAATACAGGACAGGGAAAGGAAGGACCGAAGTTGTGTGCCAAAACTACAGGGCGTGCGTGTCTCTGGGATTTATAAGGGTATTGTTCTCGATGTGGTAGGATTAGTGAATTTCTGGGGCAATATACGATATTTTTTACATGTAAAATGTTTGCTTGTTTAGGCAGCTTTAAATAATTATATCGATAGGGTTTGTTTTATTTATGCAGAACAAGGCTGGTATTTGATAATGGCACCTGATGTTAAGTTATAAATGACAGAATGTTAAGTTACAGATGCTGTTTACGATGGTACATTTCTGCCCTGTAAGTGCTTATTATTCACTCCCACTTAGAAAAACTCGTATGTATTGTCGTCGCTTGCGTCTCTAACTGACGTAACTGACATTTTGAAAAAAATTCAGGCTATTGGACAGATCGATTCGTCTTACGAAATTGATTAAGATGGTGTCGATAACTCAGTTTCGAAAAAAATGTCAGATACGTCAGTTAGAGAGGCAAGCGACGTTGTGTGAACAGTTCAATCTCTTCATACTGTAACAATAGCGTGCAATTCAGGTGAAAGTGTCGTGTCGTTACATGGTAACACTTTTTTTTTTTCATTTTGTACGCGTCTGAACGTCTCCACGTGCTTTTTAAAGTAGGCTTACAGATTCATTTTTCTTATAGAATGGTCAATCAAATTAATTTCATACTAGAGTAATCTAAAAAAAGTTATTTATACTGTTAGCTAGGTTACATAATTTATTGCATTCCTATCATATAAATATACATAATTATATTATACATGCTACCGTTTGCCAAATAAAGTATTGTGTTCGCAATCCCCATAACATGCTATCAAATATTAGAAAAGGTTGAGAAGGGATCAAACTCGAGAGTTGAGCGAAAGCGGGGAATCCCATGGAGTAGGGGAAATTCAATAAACATAAAAATAAAACGTAATAAAATTCGGTATCAGTGTGGAGCACGCAAGTGGAGGGTCTAAGGAATACCAGGAAGGGTTCTGAATAAGTGGGTAATACGCCTATAGAAATATCTTACTTATTGGGCTCGGCAGCGAACCGAAGCATAGAAGGTGCGGTAAAACTACATAATAACATTTTTAACGCATTATCTTGACGCCATCGCATACACAAGCTTAAAACCAGTCAAAAATGTTGAGTTTTTTTTATTATATTCAGTAGGTACTAGCTGTTCTAGCGAACTTCGTATCGCTAGTGAAAAGTTGTCGTAACTTATGATACCTAATGCAGCTTTCTCGGTCAAATATTTTTCCAATCCGTTTCAGAGATTTCTTCCCACAAATAAATATACAAACTTGCAAACAACTATTAGATTGCGCAGTGTTTAGCTTTATAACCCGTCTTCTTTACGAAACAAGGATTTATTATAATATGCTCATAGAGATGAGCAGTAGTATTTTTATACTTCTACGCGTGTCCCGTTCACCATGTCCGGCGCACTCTTATAGAAGCAAATAAAATATGTTACGGTATGATTCTGTTTGCGAATGACGTCATAATGCCGACTGTTTATCTGTGACTGCTGAGCTTGCGTGAAACTTTTATGGCGGCAAATATTATACTTGTTCGCTTTTACTGAGATATTAGTTCGTAACAAAAAAATAATGTGCAAACTAGCCTTTGCCGGCGACTAAGCACTTACTTATTATTCCTTTAGCAAATAATTGTAGTGCGTTTCAGAAACTGCATTTTAACGGTAAATGGTGATAGTTTGTGTGATAGGTAGTTTATTTCCGAGTGTAGCAATGTATTTTATTATATTTTATTCAGAAAACAAACAGCTTACAAATATAAAATATTTCTACAGTTTAAGATGGTTCCTTACAAATTTTCATCTCGTAGATACGTATAGGTACAATGTTCAGGTGAAAAGTACAGCCAAAGTCATGTAGGTACTTCTTATTCAGAAATTGCCATTTATCGGTATGATTAAGAAGCAATGGAAATGATTACACAATTTCTTTTTATCACAATATAGTTCTATCTAAGACTATTTTCTCTTTTTCCATAACCAGAAAGTTTTGTTCCAATAAAAATAAAACATGTAAAAAAAAGTTGTATGAAACTGTTTTAAAGAAATTTCCATTCACTCATGCAATCATTTTGTAGTTTATATTTTACAGGATCAAATCATGCGGCAGAATTTTTGGCAATACCGACGCGATGCGAGCCGCATTTTGCGTAAACTGAATATTTGAACATCAGTGATTTACGGCCGCGCAGTATTATACAAAACACTGCAATAAACTGTGAAATATGTTTCAGAGCGTTTACGCGAAGCGCGGCGNGACTATAAAAAATAATATTTGTATTCATCTGGTCTTACTTGACTTTTACTTTACGTATGTCATGCACGATGACATTTGCGTCAATATTTGTGTACGTCCCCACTAGGCATAATTGGGATTTGGGATGTATTTTTCTAATTTGTCATAAGTTGTGAGAAAGCCTGTAGCTACAACTGAAAAAGTATGTGCCACCACTGGTGACAATCGATATTATATGCCATTTATCCTCAGTGGCGACAAAGCTAGTGTCAACAATATAGGTCCCAATATAGGACCATAGGTCCCAAGGGGAAATGTACGTGTACGTGCACCACGAGAGGTGGAAACCAAAAGGTAGAGGCTTGAGAATCTAGGCCCTTAGAGTGCTGAAGGGTACGCCTGGCCGTCAGCCAAATTTTACGTCGCACCATAGAGGCAGTTCTGCCTGTATTAGAGGAGTGGGTGCGACGGCATGATCGCCTCACACAAAGGGCGACCCAGGTTCTACCGGGCCATGGGTGCTTCGGGCCATTCCTCCACCGTATAGGCCGAGAGCCTGTAGATGGTTGTCAGTTAACACTGCAGTCTTGGCACGTGAGTCACCGCAGCAGACTGACACGCTCCAACAGTGCCCAGCCTAAGCGAACGAGCGGCGGTTGGAAATGACCTCTCCCTACCAATCGGGAAGAGGCGTGAGATAGATAGATAAATTGTTTATTTGTTGTAACACACTTTTTTAATGCTTTTAACACACACATTATGTATAGTTGCTATTGAAATTCAATTCAATATCGAAATAAAGTTAGTTAGTCAAGAAACATACTAGGTGATACCACTGGTATTTTGTTACACAGGTTAGTAATAATTTCAACAGTTGCAACATAACAAAAGTGACAAAACAACATAAGATAAAGATGACTAGCGTTTCAAATAGTTCCCTGAGTCAGAGTGATGTGTGCCGCAGCGATGCAAAAAGCAAAGAGCTCAGTATAAACACTACCCTCAAAAGGGCAGATGTCTGTCTGTCTGTCTGTCTGTCTGTCTGTCTGTCTGTCTGTCTGTATGTTCCTTATAGAAACAAAAACCACTTGACGGATTTTAACGAAACTTGGTACAATTATTCTTCATACTCCTGGGCAGGTTATAGGATACTTAGGAATTCCCACGGGAACGGGAATTAGCGGAAAAATCCTTTTGTACGAAAAATCTAAACCGCTTAAGTTAGACGCTTGAAATTTGGCCTTAGTAAACTTAAAGCTTAGTTACAACAGGATATTGCAAAATTCCCATGGGAACGGGAGTTAGTGGGAAAAAACATTTGTATGAAAAAATCTAAACCGCGTAAGATATACTCTTGAAATTTGGCATGCAGGTACCTTAGTAAACTTAAAGCTTAGTTACAACAGGATATTGCAAAAATCTCACGGGAACGGGAGTTAGCGGGAAAAAACATTTGTATGAAAAAATCTGAACCGCGTAAGATAGATGAAGGGGGGGTAAAACGAGATCCACGCGCACGAAGTCGCGGGCGGCCGCTAGTTTTTAATAAAATTGTAATAGTTTTAGGCTTAGATTCATTTGCATGATTTTTACAACAACTGCTTGGCAATATTCCATGTTGTGTATACATGCTTTGGGATAATGTCTGGTTTTGCTTTTTATTTCATATTGTCATTGTATTGCTTAGGACATTGTCCTGTTTTGTATACGTAATAAAATAAATAAATAAATAAATAAGTGCATGTCAATTACTATGAGTCATTAACAACTTACACCCCGAGGGCGAATTGTTGTGGCCGAATTAATATCCAATCAGTAAATTGTAGGAAATTAAAATTAAAAGCTGAATGTTGTTTGTTATTTAAATCAATTAAAACGAGCTACCGAAAATAAAGCTCTGTCATTTATTTACGTAATGTAAATTCGTAACTACAAACACTTTTTTTTGTTAAATGTTTAAATAGTGGTATGAGTATCACAAGTTGAACTTTGAATGGATGAACCTTCATCATAAATGATATTGGATTAATATTGAACAACTGGATCCGGCCTACCCGTATAAAATAAAATAATAATATAATACTGCCTTATAAAATTCTTATAGACTGCACAGGTGCGATTGCGGTCTAAAACCTGCCTTGTTATGCATTTAAAAAAATACGTTAGGTTGTCATTGCGGCTGCACATTCCCGCCTCCTTGGCTGCGCGATACTGGCCACTAAGAAAATTTATTCTTTTCTCGACGCCCAATTTCGTTCTTCTTTTGTTTTTATTATCGCTCTCAACTCTTGAATTTTCACGCATACATTTCTATGTCTTGGTTTTGTAATTTATTGTATTTTCACGTTTTAAATAATATCGATTATTAATTATATTTTAAATTTAAAATTTAAGAAACTACAAAACGCTCATAAGTACAAGATTAGGCTCATTGATTAACTAAAGTTGTGATCTTAACTCTAAATTACCGTTTTCTTTGTTCTCAGGCTGAACTAGTGGCTGTGGAAGGGAAAGAGATAGAAACACACTACGTGCTCGCTCGGGAGAGGATCCGAAGGTGGAACTCTACATCCAAGTGCTACCTTCTAGTGGAGAACTTGCCGACGCCACTTCAGGTAATTTTTAAAGTAGTTTTGTGTTTCTTAAAATATCATGGTTTTTATCTTTCTTTGTATCCATGTCACTAGAACCATGTTTCTCTATTTGCTTTACTATGAATATTATTATCTATCAATCATTGTCAACCAATAGACGCCCGCATTTTTGCAAGCGGTTTTGTAACAAAATACGCACGCTCTGTATCCAGTAATTTTAACAAATATAAAGATAAATCTCTAAACTATATCACTACCGTGTGGTTGCCTGCCTGTCAGTAATTCATCGATATGTTAGGTGTTTAATACAAAATATACTCAATTAAGCGACGTCAATTGACATGGTTGATGACGACTAACTGCCGAAGAAACTGGTTTTAAGACACATTTTCCAATGGACTCTTAAACTTATTTTTGTTTCAGGCGGGTGGCATAGCAAGTGCCAGTGTATGGTCGTCATGTGGGTGCCGCCAGCGGCTGTTAGCTGCCGTCACCAGCGGCGGCCGAGCCGTCCACTGGGCGGCAGTGCCAGCGCCGGTCCCAGCCAACGACAGCGATTTGTGCCGATTCAACTATACGTGAGTGCATATTATCGTCATTAACATTATCTGTCTATATGTATGGGTCAGCAAGTCTGACATAACAGCCCTGGCAGAGCAGTACTTGAGCCATCAGAATAGTCGGCTGCCGTTATTAATGAGTATACTATTTTATGACTATTGTCATGACTAGACATTATAAAAATTTAGCATTTATAAAATCAAGAAACACAAAGGTTATTACAATGCCATTCACAGTGCACTACAAGTGCAGGGAGCGCTGTTAATTATTCCCGTCTACCTTGTTTAGAGCTCCGAGTCTCAACGTGATATTTGTTATCGTTCGTTCGTTTCAGCCAAATGAAGTCCACTGGACAAAGGCCTCCTCCAAGGTTTTCTACAATGCACGGTCCTACGCTGCCCGCATCCAGGCTCTTCCCGCGACTTTTACCAGATCGTCGGTCCACCTAGGAGGCCTGTCCATTTGTTAAATTAGTTACATATTACTATGTACTCATGATAAATTACGTGAGTACATGTAACTCATAAAAAAAATGCCGCGTGTTTCTCTATTTTAATTTATAAAACCGTTATAAAATTTAATCTAATCTAGATAGGTAGGTATTCAAGTTTTTCACACGCCAAGTTCATTAACAAACCAACCATCTCTATACAAAATATCCTAATATTCAGTAACGCCAAAAAATAAGCAGTTTTATTCCCTGGTGCCTAAAGTTTATTATTCAGCACTGGAACTTTCTAACTGCCCTCTTTAGACCAGTAACGAGCAGAATTTAACTTACTAACGTTATCTTTAATGCGCATACGTTAGCATACTAGTGCTGTTAATTTTGTGGGCTTGTTCAGAACTAGTGTTAGACTTTATGAGCTATTTCAAAATAGTCATAAAAAGTCATTAATTTTAGCAATCAGGCTTTTAAAAAGCACTTTCAAAGGCAACACATTTACATAACGTCAAAATACATAGGTCCTAGAGATCTACAGTATAACTGAATAGTATTCCAAAATATAGTGTTCTGTTTTGATAGAATTTAATTCAATGAATGATTTAGATCTACGCACGCACTATCTATCTATCTATGTCATTCTTTGGGTTCGCCTTCGAACATAGGCCTCCTCTTCAACCCTCCACCGTTTTCTGTCCCTGGCCACACGCATCCAGTTCACTCCAGCCTGCTGCCGGATATCGTCTGTCCATCGTTTAGGCGGTCTTCCCCTGCCGCGGGTGTTGTTGCGGGGTCTCCACTCCAGGGTCTTTCTGGCCCAGCGATCCTGGTTCATCCGTGCAATGTGTCCTGCCCATCTCCATTTACGGCTCTCTATCTCTTCCACCACGTCGCTGATCCTCGTCTTTTCTCTGATCCACTCGTTCGTTTTGTGATCTTGTAGGGAGACGCCAAGCATCTGTCTTTCCATTGCTCGTTGTGCGACTCGGAGTCTCTCAGCAGACTTTTCTGTCAGCGTCGTGGTCTCCATCCCATACACGAAGACCGGCAGTACACACTGGTTGAACACCTTGGTCTTTAGGTGTTGAGCAATTTTCTTGGAGCGTAGAACATGGCTGTTTGCCCCGAATGCCGCCCAAGCTTGTCCGATGCGCCTTCCTGTAGGGGCTACCCACCTTCTGGTAGGAAGAACCCCACATAACCCACTAGCTGCCCCCGCAGCTGGTGGGTATGAAATGTTATGCATTTTCCGGATAAAAAAAGAATAGTAAACAGGAAAAGTTTGTTTTGAATAGAACCGATTTGAAAAAATCTCTCACCATTAAAATTCAAATTTTTTTCTGCTGAACATAGGCTGTATAAAATATTCTCTAAATAGTAAAAAACCTTTGATAATTTACTATTTGATAAAGAATTTACGTATTTATTATTGATTAGGACTAATGTATACCATTATTTATAATTATGAAGTCGGTGTTGGAAGATTTGAAGATTTTATAGTTTCCTTGAGCTGTCACTTGACAGCCTGGCACACTTTTACGATGGTGGATCAAAGTATTTTGGTTTGACTATAGAGCGTGAGAACACGCACACAGTCATAATTATTTTAGTGTGAATAAAACTAGCATCGAAATTACCTAAACTTGACATGCCACGCTAGACGTAAACGCTCTTAACTGAAAAATAAACTTGTCAGTAATCAATTTGACATAATTTCCCATACTAAAACTGACAATGTGTGAAGCTTATTCTTAAGTTATTAAAAGTTATCCGACGGTTGAAAATTCAGCCCTTGGTTTAAGAAGCTAAAAAAAAAAGATTGTCTGGAATAAGTTAGTTTAATAATATAAATGAACAGTAACAAACGCTTAGCTCTAAGTGAGGTTGATAAGAAACTCGAATCTTTTTAGTTAGTTTCATTATCGTTAGCTGTTTTTTCTCTATCAAGACCACCCCAGTCTAATTGATTTTTTATCTCTCCCTACATTTATTTACCGAGAAATTCCTGGAGAAAGTTTTCTTAGCTTCTCTAATTAAATGCTTTCTTTAAATACCTATTATTAAGAGCCAAATGAATGTTAATGGGAGCGGGTTCGTTTTCAAAGTTTTACAAAAAGTAAACAAATATTTAGCTTGTTAAAATGACTGTCTCCGATGGAACTCACATTGAACATTATAAATTCAATATTATTAGTTAAAAACAATCATACAGCAAAATCCTTTCTTCAAGTTGTCCGGTAGATATTGCTTCCTAGCAATAAGACCACCTAAATTGTGCCAATCCAACTTTTACACATAGAACATTACACATGTCAATTTTAATGTGTTGTAAGTTGTAACATTTAATTTTCATTTTCATTACATTGACCTATTTTCAGCACAAAATGCAGTATCAAAATAAATAAATGTATTCCATAAGTGCATGTCAATTACTATTAGTCATTAACAACTTACACCCCGAGGGCGAATTGTTGTGGCCGAATTAATATCCAATCTGTAAATTGTGGGAAAATAAAATTAAAAGCTGAATGTTGTTTGTTCTTAAAATACATTACATGAGCTACCGAAAATAAAGCTCTTATCATTAATTTGCGCAATGTTTGTAATTCGTAACTACAAACACTTTTTGTTGTTAAATGTTTAGTGGTATGAGTACCACAACTTGAAACTACATAGAATGGATTAACCTTCATAAATTATATTGGATTAATATTGAACAACTGGATCCGGCCTACCCGTTTATACACATAGACAAATGCTACAAACTTATAAAAAACTTATAGACTGCATGTCACTTAACACCAGGTGCGATTGCGGTCAAGTACCTGCCTTGTGCACGAATTAAGAAAAAAACTTTTTTGCGTTAGGTTGGTAGCTAAAATGGTTGTCATTGAGGCTGCACAATGCACATTCCCGCCTCCTTGGCTGCGCGACACTGGCCACCAAGATTTATTGTTTTTCTCGACGACCAATTTCGTTCTTCTTTTGTTTTTATTATCGCTCTCAACTCTTGAATTTTTACGCATACGTTTTGACATCTCGATTTTGTGATTTAATTTAAATAATTTTATTCATGTTTGAAATATCAAGTATTGACGATACCACGAAGCTCTAATAGACTCAAAATGTATCTTGATAGAGTTGTGATCTTAAGTCTAAATACCGTTTTCTTTGTTCTCAGGCTGAACTAGTGGCTGTGGAAGGGAAAGAGATAGAAACACACTACGTGCTCGCTCGGGAGAGGATCCGAAGGTGGAACTCTACATCCAAGTGCTACCTTCTAGTGGAGAACTTGCCGACGCCACTTCAGGTAACTTCTAATATAGTTTTTTTAAAGACCCAAGGCTCTTATATTTATTTGTATACACGTCATTAGAACTATGTACGAGTATCTCTTTATTTTGAATTGTCATCATCATTGTTAGTATGATGTCTACATTTTAACTGTATTAGTCCCTCCCTAGATTGCAAGCGGTCTGTAGGTAGGTGTAATTGATAACCATATTATTCATTATAATGATGGGGCAAAAAGAGTCCGGAGTCCTTAATAATATATATATATATAATATACCTCCAAAGCTCAGATGCTAGATTCGGTATTTTAATAAAAAATATACCTCAATTAAGCGACGTCAATAGACATGGTTGATGACGGACGACTAACTGCCGAAGAAACTAAATCTAAGTTGCACCAGCTAACTACGACGATAACCGGTATTTTTCGTATGGAGTTTGACGTTGGTAAACTTATTTTAAACTTAGTCTTAAACTTAGCCTAACTGTTTTGAAACACATTTCCTAACACACTCTTAAACTTATTGTTTTGTTTCAGGCGGGTGGCATAGCAAGTGCCAGCGTATGGTCGTCATGTGGTTGCCGCCAGCGGCTGTTGGCTGCCGTCACCAGCGGCGGCCGAGCTGTCCACTGGGCGGCAGTGCCAGCGCCGGTCCCAGCCAATGACAGCGATTTGTGCCGATTCAACTATACGTGAGTATAATTATTATCATTAACATTATCAGTCTGTATGTATGTACATTGTTATAATAACAGTCAGTTATTCTGACATAACAGCCCTGGCGATACTTGAACCTTCAGAATAGGTGGCCGCCGTTATTAGTGAGTTAAATTAAAGGCAAATGAAATAGTTTATTTCAGTACATAGGCCCTTTCCAGGGCACTTATACACGTCCCAAATATAGCTAGCCCTACCACCACTTCAGAACAACATACGGGCTGGTGCTGAGAAGAAGTGGCGGAAGAAACTCAGTCACCATTGTCATCCTCTTTTTCAGTATAGGCACTATGTTTATGACTATTCTGCTGACTCATTTTAGCTATTATAAAACCATTATTTACCTGTTTTAAGACAAATAAACACTTTCTATCTATCTATCTATTAAATTTAATTTAATTTTAACTAAATGGGTAGGTGTTCAAGTTTTTCACACGTCAAGTTCATTAACAAACCAACCATCTCTACACAAAATATCCTAATATTCAGTAACCCCAAAAAATAAGCAGTTTTATTTCCTGGTGCCTAAAGTTTATTATTCAGCACTGGAACTTTCTAACTGCCCTCTTTAGACCAGTAACGAGCAGAATTTAACTTAGTAACGTTATCTTTAATGCGCATACGTTAGCATAGTAGTGCCGTTAATTTTGTGGACTTGTTCAGAACTAGTGTTAGACTTTATGAGTTATCTCAAAATAGTCATAAAACGTCAAAAATATTTCGCAATTAGGCTTTTGAAAAGCGCTTTTACAGACAATATATTTACATAACGTCAAAATACATAGGTCCTAGAGATCGATAGTATAACTGAATAGTATTCCAGAATATACTAAAATAAATAAATACCTATAGTGTTCTGTTTTGATTTCATTCAGTGAATGATCTCTATAAAACGACCAAAATTGGAATAATTTAGTGCGCAAAATTTTTACCCAACATAATCCGAAGTCATTATGCGGACTAAAGTCATTTAAACGTTATTTAACAGCAACAAATAACAAGTTCATCAGTCATTTAAATGCGACGCAAATGGACGAATCAGCATAATGGCCGGCGCGATTGCATTCGACAGGCATCGTTTGTCAACCTTCACCCTTCACTTTTTAATCTGGAGTTGAAAATGCGAAAAGTTTCCGAATAAATTTTATTGTCGACGCAGTAAGACGGTGCGGTGCTGGTCGGGCTTAGGAAATGAATTCTGTAACTTCGGGGTACTGCGTCTTGACTTTGACTTGTCCTATGTAGAGACGTTTTTAATTGTCTGGTGGAATTTGTCTACCTATTCCCACTTTAATCGCTTTCTATGTATTTGCGTGTAAGGTCTGTGTTACTAATCAGCATGATTCATACAATTCGCTGCCCGTTTCTTTCGATTTTAATTAGTACCGATTCGTAACTTTAATGAGTATTGCAGTAACATAATAACTTTTTTAACTTCTCAATCAATGAGATTTTTTAACTTCTCAATCAATCATATTTAAATAAAATAGAATTATTCAGAAATTTGAAAAATTGCTTAAATGAAATTAATAACAGTTTGAGTTAAATATTGTGTCTATTTCATTAATTGTGAGAAGAATTTTATTTTCTTCTTAAACCTAGACGTAAATGAGTATGGAACTCATTTATAGTACTTTAATATTTATTCGTTTTCCTAAACATAGCTATGAAAATGTGATTATCATTCGTCACTTTTGAGATCTACAAACGTACTAGAACCACAATACAAGTATCCAAACGTCTGCTCATTAAATCCTTCATTAACTTTACTGTGCCGTAGAACAGCGATATTTTAGACGCAGAAACAAATAACGTTAATAGCGCCGAGATATAAAGTAAGCAAGTTTCATTTACTACGCCATCATGGAAGATAAGGAACGCTGTAAATTTTATTGTCCCAAGCATCATTAAGTTGTGCGATCCGTCAGTCCGCAATCTTGCGATCTCCAAGATTGTGCTTTGTTTTTTTTTTCCTTTTTTAATTCCCCTTAAAAGCCGCTTTAATGGTTGCAAAAGTTATACCGTAAAAATGTATAGTAAGCCCACTCCATTCGTTGTCGTAGTTATTAGATATTTATTTGAATAGTAACTAATCCTCAGTAGTCCAAAAATTACACTGTTTCTACGTCAAGTGGTGGTTCGCCATTCCTGGATATGATTCGTTAATTCATTTCAACCTAATGATGTCCACTGCAGGATAAAGGCCTCCACCAAGGATATCCGCAATGACCGGTCCTGCGCTGCCCACATCCAGATGCCTTCCGCGACCTTATTACTATCCTACTAATTTATATTGCTATTTAACTGGCCAAGTAACAAACACAAGTGTCAAATAAGCCACTTTATGACAAACTAAAATTCACACGGGCAAAGCCGCGGGAAATAGCTAGTTTATGTATTCAAGCCAGCGGCATTTTCCGACTCCGCGATTTTAGGTTGAATCAAACCCGCGACACACATTGCCTATTCAGAGTGATTTCTGTAGAATACTTAATGATTAGGTTGTTCGACTGAATGGCACATTTCAATGGAGAAAATGGGTTGTTTGCTTATTTGAGGTTTACTCGGGAAAACGGTTTTGTTTGCCAGTTTCAGATATCTTATGGGCACAAATTCTTGAGGCTGAACCCCTAGAGATATTTCTTAGAAATATAGGAATACAATACAATCACGTAATGACTGACTTGAAACCTCCGAGGCCAAGTGCTAAGAGAATGAGATTCTCTCATCCCGGTGGTGGTTTTGGGTTCCGATTTCTGACTGGGACAGTTTTAAAGACTTTGTTATGTTTCCTTACGCTCATTACAGGTTTGATATAATGTGATTTTTCAAATCAGAAATAAGATTTCGAGCATTCGCAATGTCTTAGAAGGGAGTGTATCTGTCTTTAAGACTGTGTTCCCATATATCTTGAGTGGAAAATGTAAAGTGCGACAGCACTTCAAAATAAAGTGATTATTTAAAACTTTATTAATTTGATAGTATGATTTTACTTACAACATAAAACTCAAAAACTATATCCAAAGCCATTTGGATATAGTTTTCAAAACGTCAGCCTCCGTCGAGTTTATTCTCCTTGATTTATATGCAATTCGGGAATCGTCCGCCATTTTAAGCGTTGACCCATTTATTCTTCGACTTGCAAACGAAAGTGTTTTTCTTTGGCACGCCTCTTGAGTTCCCTAATTTAATATCGTGTTTTAGATTCAGAAAAGTTATCCATTGTGAAAATGTATTGCTTGTAAGAGAACACGCCTCTGTGGAGTTTTCCGCTGGTCTTCCTTGTATTTTTCATCAAAATCTTTAGTATAGAGCTTCTGTAACTTAAATGCTAATGCTCATAACACTAACATTTGCTAGCAGAAGTGTAGCCTTCAAATGTTTTTGTTGTTTCGTGGCCAAATTACATGGGCAAACAGATTTCTTTTTTACTTCCATCTACGTCTATCACAAAAATGAAAATCATGTTAAAATATGAAAGTCTATTATTCCTACATTCCAATCCTCTGAAACCGTTCGAGCTTGTTAAACCAATAAATATTTTTCTAAAATCTCTCCGATCCATTCCAACACCAAACATTTCAATGGAAATCAATACCAGCCAGTGTTTCCAATTATGATAAAAAACGTAAAAAAGGTAAAAAAAACTACACGTCGGAACTGCGATGCCGGTGAAACCCGAGGGGCTCATTCGTCAAAACCACCATAATCTTGTTTCGGCCGACATAGACACATTGAACGGTATTTTTTATTCATTCATTCGTAATATTTTGTATTTTTTTCCACCGCGAACGAGCACATTGTTCTCGGTCGAGCTTTGGAGAATAAATGAATAACCACTGTTGCGGCCGCAACGGCCGCCTCCTTGGCTGCGCGCACTGGCCAGCAAGAATATTTATTTTTCTTCGTTTTTCTTATGTCAATCAATATTTTTCATCTCAAATGTCACTCGATTCTTTCCAATTTCTCGAATTACATCAACGAGCCAATACAAATTTTATTGTTTCAATATGTAGTTAATAACCTACATGTTTTTTTGGTCCTTCGAGCCGGATAACTTCGCATGTTCGGGAACACAATTTTTGGACACGGATCCCAATACTTTCGAACTGGAGAAGAAGCGATACCCAGCGACCTCGACACACGAAATTTCTGAAGACTTCTCGTCGTGTCTTCAGAAACCCGGCCTTCGCAGCAACGAAACGCGACGGACGGGCCTCGTACACGTAACGTACCGACTATCATTCATTTTTCATTATCATAATCGTATTATTTTTCTCGTATTTTTAATAATTTCATCATGCCCGCGAAATTAAGCGAACTCGTGAGTAAGCGCGGCGTAATTAAAGCCAAACTCGCACGATTCNGCCATGTCCATTACTCGATTGTATGACGAAAAATCTCGCAGCGTTAAAATCGTTAGGCGAACCAGTTGATAGTTGGGATACAGTAATAATTTATCTAGTGTCATCGAAACTTGACTCTACCACATCGCGTCAGTGGGAAGAGCATCGGTCTAGTAACACAGTTCCTACTCTCGAACAATTTACCAATTTCTTGCGTGATAGAGCTGACTTACTCGAGACTATGTCCTCTAAACAATCGCAAACGTTCAACCCTACTCGTAATTTTCGGCCTAAGAAAGTGCTTCCGGTAACGACAACCAAAAATGATACTAGCGATCGTCCTTACTTTAAATGCCCTGTGTGTCAAGATGCGCATCCGATATATTTTTGCAAAAGATTTTTAGATTCGTCTGTTCATGAACGCGTTGAGTTTGTAGAGAAATTGAGTCTTTGCAAAAATTGCCTCAGACCAGGTCATACTGTTTCCACGTGTCGCTCACGAGGCTGTAAATATTGTAACGAAAAGCATAATTCGCATCTTCACGTGGATTCAGAAACTACGACCAATTCTCAGGCTGTAATGAAAATCGAAACCGCGACTCTTGACCAAGTGTTATTGTCAACAGCATCAGTGCGTATAATGCATAACAATAAAAGCGTACTCGTTAAGGCGCTCTTAGACTCGGGCAGTCAGTGCTCGCTTATCACGGAAAGCTTGTGCGAGAAGTTAGGTATTCAACCACGTCAAGTCTCGAACACGATACAAGGCATCAGTGGTAATGCGCAAGTTATTAATCGACAATGCACAATTACAGTTCAATCGCAGGTAACAGATTTTAGTTCCACATTATCGTGTCTAGTCATTCCCCGTATCGTGGGGTCAATACCAAGTCAATCCATCCGAGTCAATATGAACATACCTTCAGGTGTAGTTCTAGCAGATCCAACCTTTGCACAGCCGTCAGAGATAGACATACTCATAGGCGCGGATCTCTTCTGGACCTTAATTCAATCTAACCGAATCCCAGTCGCCCCCGGTTCTAATCTCCAATTAATTGAGACAAAATTAGGCTGGCTGGTATCCGGATCTATCTCGAATGTTAAAACGAACAACTTTACGTGCACTTTTCTGACTACCGCGCCATCATTTATTGAACTCAAGCATGTGACTCAATCATCTCGTGATAATATAGGCAGGTGTGCTGTTAATATTCGACTTTAGACTCGTACGACACGGCTCTAAATAATTTTAAACATCTCGAACGACGACTCGAATCGAATACACGAAACTGAATCGAATAATCGCGTATACATATTTACCGTTTCATATTTATAATCGTAAAAACACTCGTATCAAACTCACAGGGCTTTTGCCAGTAATCAAACTCGAGCAATCTTTACATTCATTAGTTCGACTAAGTCAAGCTGAATCGTTTCTCGTATACTCGATACTATGTTAAAGAATAACAAGCTTTCATCAAAAAGCTCACGTAAAATTATTACCGTTTCTCGATGACAGCTGGATTTCGGTAGAGTCGGCGGTAGACTCGAAAACTCTTATCTCGAATAGCGAAAACCATCTAATAATTATACAGTCCACTCACCCGTTCACAAAGCTTTTATTTCAACACGAATATCTCACGACCACAACATTTATTAGCTTCAATACGTACGTTTTAATTAACCAATCTGTGGCTGAAACTTAGCACGATCAATCGAATATATCAATCCACTTAGAAGCAGTCACCGATCATACCACGGAGTCATTCCTCATGGCCTTAAGACGTTTAATGTCGCACCGGGGTAAACCTGTTAACATCTACTCGATAATGGGCTTAACTTTGCAGGAGCATGTAACGAACTCCTTAAGCAAAAGCTCCAACATACCACTGACAGTGTCTCTGACGCTATGGCATCTGAGGGTATCGCGTTCCATTACGCCAGCATACGCGCCCCAACTCGGTGGTCTGTACGAAGCCGTTGTCAAATCCGCGAAACATCACTTGAATCGAATTGTATTCCGTTCACATCCGACATTCGAAGAGCTAAGTATGTACTTTGCTATCGCAAATCGAAGCAATATTAAACTCGAGACCGTTCATTCCCTCATAGGCCGATCATTCACAACGATTCCATCTCACACGTATCATCAGGACAATTTAAACCGACTGACCCGTTACGCACGTATTGAGGCCCTCCGTCAACACTTCTGGAGGCGTTGGCACCACGAATACCTGCCACGTGACATCTACGACAACGCCACAAAAGGACGAGGAACGAAACAACGTTGGACCTAAATAAACTCGTTCTTCTGAAGGAAGAAAATTCCCGCCACTCAAATGGATGGTCGCATCACGAAACTACCCAGGACCCGATGGGATCAGTCGAGTGGCCGACGTCAGAACTGCCGAAGGAATCGTTCGACGAGCTGCTTGCAAGATATGTCCTCTACCAGACGACGAATAACATCACAAGAGGCATCATCTTTCCTGAATTCCATTTGAAGACTCGGCAACGTAGCCTTCCCTTCAACGCGGGGGGCATGTTGCGGCCGCAACGGCCGCCTCCTTGGCTGCGCGCACTGGCCAGCAAGAATATTTATTTTTCTTCGTTTTTCTTATGTCAATCAATATTTTTCATCTCAAATGTCACTCGATTCTTTCCAATTTCTCGAATTACATCAACGAGCCAATACAAATTTTATTGTTTCAATATGTAGTTAATAACCTACAACCACTGTTCATATACGTGTCTGTATCCTGTAAATTGTATTTCTCGTAGTAAATAAAAGACTGACAAAAGTGGCTCGGTATATTCCGCAAATTGTTTTAAGCACTATCCAATATTGTGCTCTCCCGAAACAGTTTTAGGGCAAAACCTGCTTACCGAAACTTGTGTAGTGGAACTAGACCCGTTTTAGGGCCCTTCCACATAATGGTACTGACGAAGCAATTGGAATTCAAATTCACAATATCAACACCAAATATTAATCATAGGGGGCACATCTAGTTAAAAACTGAATTCCTGAAGATGATTTCCAGGATCTTGACTCCCTTATAGAACTGAATATTGCAGAGATTTCAACTATTTTGAATATGTAATTTGCTATTAGTTCCGTATTTTTGATGTTGAGTTACATAGGGTTGTCGACGTATTATTTATTTATTTATTTAATTAGGACAACCAACAAGACATACACAAATACAAGCAAATGGGATTAATTAGAACATCGCTCAATTAATAAAGCCCGCAGCAGTGACAATCAACGTCACGTGCACGATACAAGTTCTGGAACAACCTGCGATCGGTCTAGGGCTGATCAATCTGAATACAGTATAATTTTATTAAATTATATTTAGCTGTACACTAGTTTAATAGATTCATAGAAAAGTAGAACTCATTCCCTTGGGACTGTACAAGTTAGACTTATTCGATTATTCATAAAAGCGAATTTCGATAAAATTCTTTATTTATACCAATATTTATGGCCCCATCCCAAGATATATCAACATTATACAAAGTTTATGTAACTAGGAACTTACCTCACAGTAGGTCGCTCTATCTTACAGGAGTTGTATTACAAACCAAACTACACCTCAGCATGTGACAAGTACGTTAATAAACATCCATCATCGTAAAGTGCCAACCCTACTCGTCACCGTGCATACATGACACCTGGTTCAATATGGCCACCGGGGTCCATTTGTATAGATCGGGTCGGGGTTTAACACTAAAATAGTTAGGTGTTATCGGGATCCTAGGGAACAAGCTGGGCTATTGTGGACTGGGTCCAGGTGACGAAATTGCTTTCGGACCGAATTGCTGAAATTCTAATTGAAGTTTTTGATTGGGAACGTAATAAGAAGCATCAACTTTATTATCGGCTCTAAAAATATTCAAAGTGATTGTATAATATCGTAATTATTAGCTGAAATAAAAACTCTGTAAGATACCTACTTTCAATATTAAATACAGTAAACAGACTCGTGCCCCACAATAAATCATTCTAGATCTTTCGAAATGTATTTTTTAAACATTATTTGCATGTGATTTCTTGCCTAAGAATCCTGAAAGTCTTGAATGAGGTGGCTTGTGTTGTGATTAAAACAGTATCAAGGGACTAATTAAAACAGTAGGCATTATTTATATCTATGGTTTGTAAATCTTCCTGTGTCTCCCATGGCCCACAAAAGTGCTTGTTCTTTAATAAGCGACACATAACTCATATTGCGGCACCTAGCGGGCCCTCGGGGCCAATTCATCACGGCGACTGTCGGGGGTTATAGCCGCTTTTTATCTTATCAACTTGAGAAAATTCACTGCTCCAAAGTTAAAATACTGGGTGTACTCGTAGATTGCATGCAAAAGATATTGTGTATCTCATGTTTTTTTTTTTTGTAAATAAAAGTAAATTGGACCTGAAAATCGTGAATAATATTACACTGTTGCTAAGTTTTTCTTCAAAAATAATTTTAAATTTATTGGCGGATTTCATGAGAATTCTGTCAGTTAGCCATTGGTCAAACAGAGAAAATAAGGCATATATCTGTTACAGTCAACAAATATTCACGGGAACGATTCGCATGTTTTGATGTTAATTAATTTAATTGATTTACTATATATTTTTTAAATCGGCTATCGTCGTAATTAGTTAATTACTTTGGCCTGCACTGTACGAGTATCAGCGGAGTCCATTACGAATCAAATTTGGGTCATTACATGTTTCGGAAAACTGGCAAATTAAATTATTTGTTTGTGTAATGAGAACCACTGTAATGCTGATTGAATATTAAGCTACTAATTAATTAACTACATCAATGGTATTTGGAATTATATAAATTGATGTGATTCAAATTAAATATCTGAGCCACTATTTCATTTTAATTATATCGATTTTGAAGTGGACTATCAATCAATCTTTAATTTCACTTGCAAGTAGATGCATAGTTGGGATGGTGAAATCTAACAATTTAGATGTTCCTTGTCCCATATTGCAATTTAAATTGAGCCGAAAATAGAATCACATTGATCGTCGAAATCGATTGAGCGTCTTTTCATACGGGCCAATAACAACAAGAGGCGTATTATTTAATCATTGGAAATCTAAAATTCGTAAAAAACACAAATTGTATTCGAATTCTATGTAAAGAAGAAGAGAAGAATTCAAATAGTACCTACCTACACAAAATTAAAAAAGGAAAAAATTACACTGAAAAGGCAACAGTCTTCCTCAGCAGTCTTCCGTAGGTCTCTGTTTGAGTAAGAAGGTTACTAGGTACACGTTATATGATGGAAATAAAAGGTGTTTTTGTGAATCCGTACTCAAATTGCCATTGTTCTTCTATGCAGTAAAACATGCCTCCATTTTGCTTGACTCTTAAGGCAACATTAACCATTTAAAATAACACCTCCCCTTCTTTCGCAGATTCCCGGTGACAGCAGACATGGCGCCCGTCAGCTCGCTGCTGGTCTACTACGTCACAGAAGCAGGGGAACCGGTCAGTGACGTCGCTAGCTTCCATGTCAAGCTGCTGCATAAAGAGGTAAGGATTTTCTTTGATAGTAAGTTAATGCACTTGTAAAATTACTGGGGAAAAGATAATAAAAGAGGGTGTCTGTTGTAGGGCTGGAGACTAAATTATCCATCTGTTTACGTGAACACAATCTGTTTCTCAAAAGTGCATGAAAATATCAAAGGAACTGCAGAAATCTAGATTGTAAGTCAACAAAAATAAAATAGAGCTAGTATTAGTAGTTGTAGCTCTTGATTTTCTCACTATTTCTGGGATTGTAATGGTCTATCACCAGACGTCTTGATACAATACTAAAACCACCAGGCCATGGTAGCCATTGAAGTTAAAACTGGAGTGTATATTTTTACTCTGAAAAAGCCTTTTTGACATTTTTTCCATACTCCAGTATAAAGTTGTAAATGCAAATCGTCATTCAACTCTAACATTATTATCACAACGCTAAACGAGTTAGCACAAAAACGGAATGTTCTCATAAAAGCGAATCCCACACGCGAATACATCACAATATGGATTCATGCGAACGTGTAAATGTACGGTACGCAGAGCAAATATTGGTACATGAATATTTATATTCAGTTACGATGATTTTCGGCTTTTGTGACGAACTCATATTTATGCAATCGCGAACGTATTTTTGGGCTGTTAGGGTGTGTGTTAAGCAAACAATGAATGAAATGGGGATTTAATAAGTACATAAACCGTTCAGCACACTCAAACTTATTGTGAACAAAAGGTCGTTTTGCATAACCATGTGTAGGTACAGAGAGAGAGACCGTGAAAACTTTTATAAAGTTCTGTAGCACAAACAGCCTTTATATTTACGGATTGAACAAAGCAGAATGTTTACGATTATTATGTCACTTCGTTCAAATGTTATAATCTTAATGATATCATCCCAAAATACCCCAGTTATAAAACTAAATTTAAATCATCAACAGCCCTTTACAGTCCACTGCTGGACTATGAGCCTCCTCCACTATAGTAGAGGGTTTTGCCATAATCCCCACGCTTGGCAGGTGGGTTGGAGATCGCAGTTTAAAAGATTTATGTTTGTCAGAGAGCGCTGCTGCCCGTTCTCTGTTTGATGTGTAAATTTAAATAAATTATAGCAATGTAGCTAAATTGATTGATCATTGGGGTTAAATTGATACTAGACTTTGATCGTAGTTATGAATAAGACAAGAAAAGAAAAAAAAATGTTGAATTCTAGTAACTTATTTTTTACATAACTTATTTTTAAATCCTGGATAAGTAATTGCTTTATTGTGTAAACTCTAAAATCACTGATTTAAAATAAATTTTACTTCAACAGGTCTTTTCTAGACAGAAAATTTCTGCAGTAAACTAAATTAATTTAAATAAATTGCAACGCAAATTGAATTCCTGTGCCCCCAACACACGTTAGCTCCATCGGAATTGCATCTAGCTCCATCTGTAAATACGGGCTTGGACTAACAAACTTAACGAATCTGCGAAATCGGAGTAACGTATACGAATCTTAAAATGGAGAATATTTTGTAAATTGGAATAAATAACTGAGTAAAAATATCTCGTAATGAAAGAATGGGATACCGAAAGAGGTAGACCAATTAAAATTGGTTCAGTATCCCATTCTTAACCCTAAAGATATCTTTATTTATCTCGCCGAGCATTGCTTTTATATTATTATCTTGAAGTAGGGCTATGAGTAGGATTTGTAGAAAACCTATATAAAGGAAAAACCGCGTTACTTTTCATTCGTCACTATTGCGGTCACAAAAGTACGGAAATTTAAGTTAGGTGCCTATTCTCAGCATCTGTGAGAAATCATTGAAAAAATATCGAACAAAATATTCTCGTGTCGTTAGTGAGTATGAGCGTACTAAGAACTTAACTTAATTTCTTGGACACAATATAAAAAAAATGTTTCGTAAAGAAAAAGGTCGAAACAATAATATAAAAAAACGTTTCAGGCTTTCGCTATGTACAAAGTTGTTTCAATATTATCCTACATGTGTATTGGCTAATCAAACATAACCAAAATACTAAGAACGTCTCCAGAATCCTGTACAAACAGTGACTACTATATCAACAGCAGTTGACATTTACTATAGGCAGTATGTTAACCTGAAATCTTGTGCGCGTTTAGTCTCATGAAAATCGCAACTAACCCTCTGTTTACTGCAGAGCCTTGGCGAGGTAGCTGGCGTTAAATTGGAATATCGTCCACAATAAGGATGTGCGACAGGCGTGGTTGATCCGATACGTCGCATGCAATCGGATCTAATCGGATATTAAACTCTCGAGCGCATACGATAGTGGGGAAAACAGCTCTTTTTATTCGGTTTTTATGCGCCAGGTCGGTATTTAGTTGTAAATGAAAACATCTACTAAAACGTTTCAAAGATAAAAGTTTAAGTAGTTACTTAATTGGCTAGATAAAGTTCATCATATGTAGACAAAACTTATGCAATTGTATAAAATCACTATCTTAATGAAACGTAATTGATTGTCTTCTGTAATTTTTATGTAACACGTTAATAATGTTGATAAATAACTTCACAGTTTTAGGTTAAATGTTACAATTAGTTGATCTGATCCCAAAACCACAAACCGGGTTACCTATTAAAAGTCGACATCGGCGCATCTCTACTTCGCAAAGTGTACGTTCCTCATTTATGCCGTCTTATTTAGTGGTGGCAATATATGTTTCAATACAAATCCAGTCATTTTCGTGGTTTATTATTGGTTAGGTACGTAGTTGCAGTCAAAGTGATATATTCTTTGATGAATATGTTACATTTTAGTAGGTACCTTGTAGGTACCTTGGATAGCAATAAAACGGGTAAACCTATAAGACAAAATATTTAATATCACGAAGATCTTTATGAATCTTAACAATTATATTATTCACTCCAAGTCTCAATTTTAGCCCAATCTAAAATAAATCAAATAATCTAGATTTAGCAAGAAGACTTAAGCAAGAATTTGACTTGAATTGAGGTAGATATTGTACAAACATTTCAATAAGGAATCTCCTTTTTGCTCAAAATGTTCACTATCCTATATTAATAAAATAATAAGCGCGTCCATTTTAATTAACGGTAAGAATGATCCTTTTCCCCGTTTCCGACCTTTGAGGACACTTTTCGCACAAATTTCGTAATTATTCGCCCTCCAATTAGCCCTATAGGATACGGTACTAGACGGCTATGAAATAGGTATTAGGGGACATTTAAGAATAGAGTTGGCAGTCACATTCAATATCAGATTAACAACTTTGAAGGTTAAATGAAGTATTTGATTTGCTACTTTCATCGAAGTAGGTACAGTCGTGGGCACATCAGAGACTACATTTTTGTAGTAAAATCGGACCTATAAAAGTATAGAAAATGTACTTTTCTGTACTGTAAGTATGTAGTTTGTTGTGTCGTAACTGAATGCACACCTGCACAAAACGAACCCTACCCTTAAACCTCCAGTTTTTAACTTACGAAACCTATAGACATCTACTAGTATTACGAATGGGTGGTAGTGGTTTTTTTTTTGGTTCGGTAACTTTTGGTCCCTTAAAACTAGGCACTTGGAAAAATCACATTGCAATGATTTACATCCTTACAAGATAAAGACCCGACCTTGGAATTGGAGACAGTTTCTTTTATCAAACGAATCCAACAGTTAATCCGAACCAAATTGTAATCAGCTTAACCCAAGCAAACAAAGTTCACTGTCAACTACAGCAAGAATTCGCTCCGTTTCTTCCCTCCACACACCAAAAGCCTCACAATTCGGCAAACGGTGTAATCAGCGAGTTGCTAATGAATGGCGATTCGTTGACGGCGAAAGGGGGCAATTAAGAACGCTGTAATTTCGCCGATTCGACCAAATTGGTTCAATATGCTTGTTTTATCCGGCTATTGGGATCATCCTGTCTTTTTGTCTGGATTTCATATAGATGTCCGGTGAAAGTTCCTTTGTGTACAGTTTAATTGAGACGACTCGTTTAAATACATTATTGGGTTATCTAGTACCTGTTTTCTACAGACTTCTAGCTTGATGATCATTATAAGAAGCATTTTTATTATTTTATCAATGGACTGGAATCAGTGCAAATCATTCTGTGTGTGTTTCTTGGGGCTTAAATAAGTTAGTAGTCCTAAAAACTCAAATTACAAAATGATTACATAATCACAATTGTCCAGGCGGTCGACAGTATTCAAACTACAGACCCACAAATTGGCATGGCAGCCCGACAATGACCTCCTTTGATTATTGTTATCCTTCTAAATCAATCCTGAAAAATATTCCTACAATCAAAGAGCTCTTAGTAAATCATCATCCTGTTCCAGCGTCAGCATACTAAGATTACAATTTTCCACCAGGTGGCAGTAGCAATCGAAGAACGCCGCTGGTGGTACCCGCGCGCTACGCTTCAGCTCCGAGTGTTGGCGCCACCAGACTCTACCATGTGTCTGATCGGCGCACGCGCACCTCCCGACACTCGCTTCGACCCTCACCAAACGTAAGTCTTATCTATATATATAAAAACTAGCTTTGGTCGCCCGCTACGCGGGCTACAAAAGCTAGATCTGCGATGCTGGCCGCTCCGGGCTTCGCCCTACGCGGCGCTCGGCCTGCGGCCTCGCATTCGGAGCTCGGCCTTCGGCCTCGCAAAAATTACAGGGGGCGTTTTCGTTTGTCACGGTGCTCTTGTGCTTTTTTGACGCAACACAAGTAAATCTATGGCGACTGTGGGGATTTGAACCATCGCTCGGCCTTCGGCCTCGCCTTTCTGTCTGTCACTGGGCTCTAGTCCT